ACAACTCCTTAACTCATGGCATCCAGAAAGCAGAGAGAGTGAAGGGAAGAGCTGGGGAGGGAGATAAACCCTGGCCATGCCCCCAGGTCCCACCTCCTAACAGCAAGTCAGCTGTAAGCCCCATAATGTGATCTCCTTCCAAAAGCCCTGCCTGTGAGCATGTGAGGCTTTGAGGGAACATCCAAGTATAAATCACAGTCCTGACCCCCGGCATGCTAGGCAAGTTCTTTACAGCCAAGCTGCATCCTGAGCCTATCCTCATGATGAAGGTATCATCTGAGACAATGCTAATACTATCCTAGTATCACCCTTTAGCATCTGTATTTTAGTAGGATTTTTTTAGTTTTGTTTTGTTTGTTCCTTTCCCTTCTCCCAGGCCTAGTTCACCTTATGCCCCACTCCATATCTTTTCAGTGCCCCCTGGGTACTAGTGAGCCAGGAGGAGGTTTGAGGGTGGGGAGCAGGCCTAAAGGGTTCCTATTGCCTGTGACATTGCAGTGTTCCTGTGTGGCGGTGAAGACATTGGCAGAACCCTGAATCTCCCCACCAGGAAGACAGCAGGCATGGTCTTGGCCAGCAAAGTGTTGCTTATTATTCCAAGTCATTGGGAATTAAGTCTCACCTCCGCCCCCCAGCAACCTGGATTGGCCTAACACCTTTGGTGTTATCTCAACATTCCATACAAAGGCTGGGAAGCAATTCAGATGGGCGATTTGGAGAGAAACCACTGGCCGTTGGTTTTGGCACCACTCCCTGCCTGAGGTCCTCCCCACTTCTCAGGCAGCAGAGCCAGCACCCCCCATACCCCAGAGTGAATTCTGACTTCGTTTGGACCTGTCCTCTCAGCTCAGTCCCTGTGCAAACTAATGTTCCATGAGGTTTGCTGGGATTGGAGGGGAAAGAATGGTTTAGTAATTGACTAGGTTGCAGAGATAAACTCATTTTTCGGGTTTTCTCCTCTGACCTTACAGTATGTGATTAACACTCACTCCCATGGGATTCGAACACGGACTGGGCACCTTCAACAGTGAATGGGACCCTGTGCCAATCTAGGGGACCTGTGTTAGCTTCTGGGTCAACACATGATGAAAAGTGAGAAATACCCATGAAGGAGCAGAATGACAGCCAAAAGCAGTATTAGAACAGCCTCCCGGTTCAGGATTCAGTGACATCAGTGTTACTGCAGGAATCCCAGTGAGAAGTTGGAGTCTGGGCTGCTTCCAAAGGATGGGTGGGTTTAAGTGGGGACTGAGGATAGATTGCCACATTTAGCAAATAAAAACACATGTCCTGTGTAACCCTTGGCATAGTCAGACTAAAATATTCTTAATTGTGTATCTGGAATTCAAATTTCACTGACCATCCTGTAGTTTATGCACGATTCCTAAATGGAGAGACCTTTTTAAATGGAAGGTATATGCACAGACCATCCTGCAGGGAAAATGAGTAGGCACAGGTAGGGGATGGCTGAGGTGTGAGACAGGTGCATCTTTGGGCTGCCACCCTGGCCCAATCTGCAGGCATACCACATACTGCACACTTTTTCCCTGTGACAGTGATAGTGTCAGTATTCTGTGGTATATTATCTTTGATCAAAAGAAACAAGACTGATGGAATAGAATGTGAAAATGTGGCCCAATTTGAGAGTTTACCTTTAAGGCAAAAGTTATACCTGTGTGTGTGGAGAACCAGTAGTCGTGTGCCATCCCAGATGGTTTTTATAGAGGAGTAGGTAGATCATATGCAGTTCATGAACTCCCTGGCATTTTCTCCGTGGACTACCACAATCTGGGGGATTTAGTTTAAATGTATGTTTTTCAGAGATTGGCCAGGCATGGCTATGGCTTTCAAAAGTTCAGGCTCAGATCTTCAAGAGCGGGTCGTCTCTGCTGTGGCTTACTAACTGTGCCACCAAGTTCATAAACAGAACAGAAGCCAGGGCCCAGATCCCTCAGTTCTCAATCCTTCTACCACTGCTGTGGCTTCTCCACATTGTGTATTTAAAAAGCCACAGCTAAGCTGGACACAGTGGCATGTGCACATGGTCCCAGCTACTCGAGAGGCTGAGGCAAGATCACTCGAGCCCAGAAGTTTGGGGCCAGCCTGTGCAACCCCAGTGAGACCCCAGTGAGACTTATGTGTGTTTAAAAACACACATAAGTACACACACATACACAGTATTACAGTGACCATTCCAGCTGTCCCTGTTTGGTGCTTTCCCACCATATCCGGATTTGTTTTTGAAAATGCAAGTTGGAGCCCCAAGTGGAATTGGTCATTGGCATCCATCAAAATTTGGCCCTTGACAGCAAACTCTTTTGGTGAAGATTCTTGTTCTACATTGATTTGTTAATTTAAAGATAAAGCTAACCAGGTGTGGTGGCATACTCCTGTAATCCCAGCACTCAGGAGACTGAGGCAAGAGGATTGCTGTGAGCTTGAGGCCAACCTGAACTGCATGGCAAGATTCTGTCTAAAAAGAACAAATAAATAAGATAAAGCTGAGCTGGGCATGGTGATGTAACCTCAACACTCTGGTCAACTGAGGCAGGAGGAGCCCAGTCTGAGCAAATTAGTGACTTAGTAAGACCATGTCTCAACAAGTAAATAGGACTAGGGAATGCAGCCCTGTATTCGATCCTCAGCTAACCCTTGCACCCTAAGAAAGATAAAGCCATTTGGAATTTGGAAGATCTTGTGTGGCAACAGCTCCTTCCTTCTTTAACCTCTCACCTTCCTTCTCTCCCACAACCAATGAACAAGTAGCTTCAGTTAGTATAAGTGCTAGGGAGAAATTACGGAAATTCTTTATCCATGGATTAACTTCTTGGGTAAGAGTGAAATCAGAGTCTTATCTACCAAATCCCATTCTCTTGTCAGCTTGGCTGGCTGGAGAGAAAAGGGAACAGCTGGCCTTGGACAGAACTGGGTTAGGAAGAACTGGGTCCATTTGTGTCCAGTGCCTGCAGCAGCTGGTGAGTTGAGGTGTGAGGAGGGCTGGTAGTTGCCATCTGAGAGTAGCAGACAGCAGAGGGTGTGGGATCCAGAGCAGGAGAACAGGGCGATGACCAAGTCCAGTGCTAAGGTGCATGCTTTCCCCGTGCAGGGCGCTGAAACTATCCCCAGTGGGTTTTTATTAGCGCCCCTTTACAGGTGAGGAAGTCAGGTCTTAGTAGAAAAGTAAAATGACTTGCCCTAGACTAGAAGCTCTCTTTTAGATAGTGGAGTTAGGAAGTCTGATTTTAGGGGCTTAGATAGATAGAATGGATGAAGCAAGCAGCCCAGCAGGATAAGTGGAGATCCTTAGAGATGGGCTGCAATAGGATAGGTGGTACTCAGGGTCAATTCTCTGGGCCTGTGGCCTTACACCTCACCCAGGCAGGACTCTGCTGACGAGAGGCTCTGTGACCATCACTGAGCAGCAGTGAGACCAGGAGGGCACCAGTGTGTGCCTTTGCTGTTCCCCTTTAGAAGTCAGTTACAGTCAGAGTTGAGAGTAGGGGCTTTGGAGTCTCCTAGCCCTGGCTTTGATTTCCGTCCCCACTCTTCATTTGGCCTTTGAGCAACTTAATGACTTTGGCCCCAACCCTCTAGTCTGTAAAACAGACAACGCGTACCTACTTTCCAGCAGACATGGGCTTTCCGGTAAACAGTGTGCTGTCTATAAGGGGCCTCTAGCACGCTACATGATCCACAACAGGCACTTGGAAGTGGTGGTGAATAACGCTGAGAATTAGCCCCCATTTATTGTTTGCTGGGGGAGGGCCAGTACATAGGGAGGTCATGCCTGGGCTCAGTGGTGTGTGCATCTCCTTGGGGGCTGCCCTGTGTGCAAGACACAGGCCATGTCACCAAGGCTAGAGTTTCTATGCACCATAGACAGGGCTTCCTCCTCCAGTCGTGCCTCCTGGTGCCTTCCAGGCTATGTTCTAAAGCACAGGGGTGAGGGTGGGGGGTCAGGTGCCCAAAACACCCACGGAAGCAGACTGTCTCTACTGGGCGCACCCTTTGTTCCTGTCTACAGATGCTGGTGAGGGCCCTCAGGAGGAACGCAGGACCCTCTGTTGCTGTCAGCCCTCTGCTGGTTGTCTGTGCCCCACAGTTTCACTTTTCTACTGGAAAGGGTTATTGGTGCAGTTGGCAGCCACCTGCCTGGTAAACGATATGGTGGGGCCCCCATAAACCCAGACCATGAAACAAGTCAGCACATGAAAAATACAGCGTGAAAGTGACTCAAGGCCAAAGGAATCCATTTCTGAAAGTGCTGCCATCGCTTCCTGGAATTTTTTGGTGGAAACTGATGTTTGAGATGGAAGGAGGCAGCCTGTTGATGGGCAGGGCCCTGGTCAGCGTCAGCAGCATTTGCCCTGAGGTCGAGTCCTGCCTGCCTCTGACCATGAGGCTGTTCCTCAGTGAGACTGCCCAGGCTGGGCCGTGCTGGGGAAAAGCGGTACGAAGCCACCTCCACAGCAGATAGGGCTGATCTGACCGTACGAGCCAGCCTGGTAATGCTTGGCCAGGGGCCTGGAAAGTGTTGGAAACTCCACCCAGCACGGGAGCCTGTGGGAGTTCTCCAGCACGGATGGGTTATTCTTCTCTGAGTTCTTTGGATTCCTGTGTATTTGAAATGTTTATCTTCTTCTCAGGACTTCAGCTTGTCCTTTGCCCACCCCGCAGAGACCAATAGCAAGCATACACATACTTGCATTTCTAGACCACCCTGGTGATCAGGTAATTAGAGCCGCACACAGGTTTTGGAAGGAAGAGTGTGTTGGAAATCACACTCCACTGTAATTCAAGAACAGGTTTCTTTATAGAGGGACACAGTTGGTGTCAGGCACATGCGAAAAAGAAAAGAACAGGCCTGTAAATTTTGACAGGGCACCAAGGGTGAGATGTTAAATATACCGACCACAAGATAGCTACAGTAGCCACTCATTGACCTGAATTCAAGGTGTGATTTTAACCACTATCTCTACGTGTTCCTTTCCTTCTGCCAGGTCCCCAGTCTGTGTGAAGATCTCCTGTCTTCTGTTGACCAGCCACTGAAAATTGCCAGAGACAAGATGGTGGGCAAGGATTACCTTTTGTGTGACTACAACAGAGATGGGGACTCGTATAGGTGAGCTCATCCCCACGAGGGTCGTGGTGTCAGCCATTCTGCCCTTTCTGGCAGCACAAGGACCTCTGAACTTCAACAGGCCAGCAGCCCACCGGCCTGTCTTTCCATTTGTCATTCTGTCCTCTTCTTTCCTGTCTTTTGCTTCTTCCCTTCCCCGCTCTAGCTATTCATCCCATCAACCAGCAGGTGTTTGTGGAGCACCTGCCATAAGCATTGGAGGTCGGTCTTCATGCATCTTACAGTCTGTGGGAGAGGAACATTGTCACCAAAACAGCTGCTGTATTGTAATCGCACTGGCCCTGCGAAAGACAAGGTGCAGGGTACACAGTGATGAGGGTCCTGAGGCCAGGGGTGTCTGGTTAAGGGATGCTTGCTCTAGCTCCGTCAGATGCGTACCTCTCCCTTCTCTGTCCGTCACCATGGTGAGAGTTGTAAACAGCCAGGCTGACATTGGCGCTTGCCCTGTGAGATACATTCATCACTGGATGGCCATGTGATCATGCAGCCAGTGCAAAGCCTGTCCAGGGTTTGGGGTTGACTAGAAGAAGACTTCTTGAAGGAGATAATATCTAAGGCTGAATTTTAAGGGTGGATGGAGGTTATTTGTAAGAATGGGATTCCCTAAGCTAAGCAGTCTACTGCTCACCACTTGGAGAATAGTGGAGAATCAGTGTGATGTAGGTGTATTAGAGGACACACTACCTGGGCTCAGGCCTGAAGCTTCAGCCTGGTGCTCTCACTGGACAGGGGACTGGGCATCTGGACAGCAGAAGCAGGAGGAATTACTTGGAGTCAGCCAGTGTGGGCTGCAGACCAGCACTGCCCCTGTAGTAGTGGGACTTCAACGAGTCACTTCTTACCACTGTAGCATCTTTGTGTGAGCTCATTTGGCATACTGGGCACTATCCTCAGCCTTTCTTCTATGGAGCCTGCATCCCAGTGAGGAAGCCAGACACACAGTATGCACATGCTCAAGTAACACAAGTTGTGAAAGTGTTGCTGGAGAAAACAGAGGACATTGAGAAGAAGAGACAGGATGGGTACACAGGCAGAGCTCCCCTGTGCATGTGACTTCAGGATGAAAACATGCAGTGACACACAGTCTGGGAGAAGAGCTTTCTGCATGTCAAGGCCCTGGGTGGAGATGAGCTTGCTGGCACTGAGCCGTGAAAGGCCAGGGTGAAGAAGGCAGTGAGGATGAGAAAGATGCTGAGAGGCGTGGCAGGGAGGGTGCACAGGGCGTGGAAGGCCAGGCTGATGCTTAGTGGGAAGAGTAAAAGAAGTAATACATGTAGTGCTAAACAGCACAGACCTTGTCTATTTGAATGGTTTCATTCATACTCACTTTTAAAGAGGCTAGGCCAGTGCTTTATGATCATGCTCCCTTCCTGACTTCAGACTGAAGTTAGGTGGAGAATGTGATGGTGCATTCGGGGCAAGGCTGGAGTGGAGATGGGGAGCAGAGGCGATGCTGGTTGGTGTGCAGATGGGCAGAGTGTGGGAGAGACAGTGAAGGCCCCGGGCAACTGGAACTGTTGACAGGGAGAAAGACGCAGGAAGGACCTGCTTTGGGCTGTGTTAAGCTTGAGTTCCCTGTTAGACCGAAGAGGGGATGCCAAGTGGGCATGTACCCACAATCTGGACCTCCGGAGAGAGGGCTGGGCTGGAGATGGACCACAGGTGTCCCCACACAGAGCTCTTGATACAGCTCTAGGGCAGAGCGAGTTCACAGTATGGTATCCAGGAGAGGTCCTTCCTGGGAAGTGTGTGGAATGCTCCTGGAGAGAAAAGGCAGTGAAGGTGCTAAGTGGTCTGACAGCCCAGGGTCGTACGTGGCCGCAGCAAGTGCCCTTGGCAGACCTGGGGCTCACGCTCAAAGAAGACTTCCTGAGAGAGGTGATATCAGCATTGTTTTTCTTTTTTCCACTAAAAAGCTCCAAGTAAAGCAGCTGTGTAAGGCAGCCGATCCAGGGGAGCTGGTGGAAAGAAGGGATCAAGTCTATACCCAGGCCATGCACCCCTGAGACCTCTGACCCTCCAGGGCACCCTGTAGACCCTGCCCCCTCTCCAGTGGTGCCAGAGGTCTCTAGGGATCTGAGCCTTCTTGTAGAAGAGCATGAGTGTCAAGGCAGACCTAGTCTTTTCCCCTCTCTCCCTCTCAATATGAAACTTCAAGGTCTTCTGATTTTCCCCACACATTTCTATCCTATGTTTGATCATTTGCTTAAATAAGATCCTTATGGTGTGATCGCTGCCAGCAGCGCTGTTTGAAACCTGTTAGCTGAAACAAAAAGCTTTCTCAGGGGAAAATGAAAGGCCTGACTTTTGAAATCTAAGCGTTCCTGTCCATCTGTCTTTTCTCAAATGGCCTCCATTTAAGCTCTTAAATGTGTTCTGAATGCCCCTTCCACTAAGAATATTCTGGGTAATGTTATGATTTTTTTCCCCCAGCTACAATTACCCCAGCTCCAGGCCTAACGGCTTCAAATGCTGTCATCTGTGAGCCAGGAGCAACGTGAGTTACAGGCTGCTTGAAAGTTCCAGGGCCCCAGCCTGCAAGAAGATGGGCTCTTGTGTCTCCTCAAGTTGCCTTAAACGAGAGCCAGTTGGGGGCTGGGTGTTTCCAGGCCACAGAACAGCAATGGCCGGTCCACTGTGGAAGTGTGTGGCCCATGAGTGTGCTGAGAGGGGAAGTCTCAAAGCCAGCATGTGGGGAGACAGGAGTTAAGTTCACATACACACCCCCACCAGCAGAGAAACGAAGTTGCCTTTACACTGGTGGTGGTAGCAACGGCAGTGGCAGTGGCATCCTTCAACAGGGCTCTTGTCTCTGAGATCCAGTGAGAGTCCTTGTGATTTTCTTTTTTTTTTCTTCTTCTTCCTCTTTTGGCAAGGTAGACAGTGTCTTGCCTTGTTGCCCAGCTGGCCTTAAACTCCTGGGCTCAGATGATCTTTAGCATCCTGAGTAGCTAGGAGTATAGGTGCAACCTACTGCAGCCATTCAGTTCTGCTCTTTTGAGCTTGTGTAGCCTTGAGCAGGAAAAACAGAAAATTACTCGGTCTTCGTGGCCTGGAGGACCACCTGCAGAACTTCCCAGCTGTCTTCCCCACCCTTGCTTATGACTCCAGCATCTTTCACAGATGCTAACTGCCCTGCTGCATGAGGCAGCCAGCATAGGCCCTCTTCCAAAGACTTGCAGGCTTGGGCAGAGCAAGAAAAGGATTATAATAGTGTGAGAATTCACATCTGGATGGCTAGGAGGGGTGGGGAAGTGGTCACTTCTGCTTTTGTAAGGGAAGTGGAAGAATTTATTTATTCTTTTAGCAATTTATTTTTCAGTGAACATACTCTTGAACTTCAGGCACTGTTTTAGAGGCTGAGAAACCAGTGGAGAGCAAGGCAGAAAAGCCGTAGCCCTGTCTCAGCTGAAGTTCTGGGACTGGCCATCTAGTTTTAAGTTCATTCAAATTAAGTAAGATTAAACTGTAACCCCGCAGGCGCAGTAGCCATATCTCAAGCACTCTGAAGCCACAGATTGCTCTCGGCTGCCTTGCTGGCCAGGGCCGGTGCAGAACATTTCCATCCTCACAGAAGGTCCTGGCCGGCAATGCTGTGTGCAAGGGGTGAACAAGGCGGGTTCCAGGACGAGAGGCAGCGTGTCTGCCCTTGCTCAGGAAAGGAGAGACATCTGTGCCAGCTTGTGGAGTGTGTGTGTACAGTGTAACCATGCTAGTGCCAGTTCTGGGCAGCTAGGGATAGGGGCAAGGGCTTTCACACCGTCCCTGCAAAGTCCCCGCTAGTTCTAGTGAGCAGGGGGCTGGGAGCAGCCAGCTTGAAAGGAAAGGTTTCTAAGGCTCTTGCTGTAGTGGTTCGTGTTACTGCTGCTTAGGGACCCTTGAGTCACACACATGGTGACTCTTTCCCCATTACACTTTGAGGGGGGCCAGCTCTGAGAAAACTGGGACATCTGCCCAACGGCAGCTTACCCTACAGACATGATCTGCTGACATAGGTGCAGTGTGGAACATCAGTTACCAGGAAGAGACATCTGTGTACAGAATTTAGAATTCAGATGTTGGCAGTATCACCTTTCCCCCTTAGCATCAGTCCCACAATGAAAGGGTCTTTGGAGTCTCCAGAGGTATAAAGGTTCAAGGTTCTCAGGGAAGCAGATAGGGCAGCTTGGGTTTCTGGCCAGGAGACATCATGGGGTTCCTACTGCTGAGCATAAAGGCTTCCCCCAAGTCTATCCTGTCTTGTCTTCCTCTCATTTCTCTTTTCACCTTGTCAGTTCTTCTCTCTGAACACCCTGCCCTGAGCGTCCACCTGCAGGAATTAATGAGTAGACCTTTTTGCTATAACCCCCTTCCCCGTTCTCAGTGCTTTCCTGATGCAGCAAAATACACATTGGGAAGTGTAGCACATCTTTGGGTGCGGGGGCTGGTTCCTGTTACTTCCGAGTCGTGTGAGCACAGCCCTTAGGTGTTGCAAAAGCTGTCCTCTGTCCGTGCGGGGCAATCAGGCACTCCACTTTTCTAATATAATTGGCATTTCTTGCCTGCTTCTGTAACTGACAGGTATCTTCTTAGACCTTCCTGTGTGAGAAGCTCTTGGGAACACTTCTCTGGAGCTGCCAGCAAGCCAGGAAGGAGAGAGGGACATCAGTTGGTCACTACAGTGGTGAACACAGGAAGCTAAGAAAGTGGGAAAGGAAGGACTAGCGTTCGTTGAACTTGCTGTATGCCAAGCTGTGGCCTTGGCTCGGGGCATCCTTGCCCTTGATCCCTCACAACAGCCCTGCTGTTAGCGTCATACCACACAGCTGGGGAGAGAGGCTGCTGGGTACCCTCCAGTCTCCTTTCTGAGCCCTTGCTCTGGAAAACTCTAAAAAGCCCTCCTGGTTGCCAGGGCCTGAAACATCCGGGCTTTGCCTTTGGACTTTCAGGCAGCTGGGGCTTGTACTTACTGCGCATAGGCCTTGTGGCCCTGTAGTGACTCTTGTCACCTCCTCTCCCTCTTCCCTCCCTCCAGGTCACCGTGGAGTAACAAGTATGACCCTCCTTTGGAAGATGGGGCCATGCCGTCTGCTCGGCTGAGAAAGCTGGAGGTGGAAGCCAACAATGCCTTTGACCAGTACCGAGACCTGTGAGTTGCTTCTTCCCTTTGAGTTCCAGCTCTTGTGGCTTTGGTGGGACAGATTTGAATGAGGGGGTGACTGAGCCAGTCTGTCTTGCATCTGTTGCTTGGCTCACCCAACTAATTTTTTAACTGGGATCAGTTTTAGGAAATTAAGGCTCAAAAAGATTCAGGTGTTTGTCCAGGGCAACTTGCAGAGCCAGGGCTCAAAATCGGATCTGTCTCCAGTAGCCTCTGGGTTTTACTGCCTCCCCTCCTCAGTTCCGACTGGGAATCCCTGCCACCCCTCAGTGCCAGGGTAGGATGAGTCAAGGTCTCATGCAGAAGGACAGTGCAGCCCATCTCGATCTAACATCTTGTGAATCCTGAGTTGATTGGCTTTTGGCCTCTTCTATAAGAAAGTTTAATCCCACTACTCTGGGAAGCTGAGGCAGGAGGATTACAAGTTCAAACCCAGCCTGGGCAAACCTGTCTCAAAATAAAAAGGCTGGGAGTGTAGCTCATTGTAAAGACTGTAGTTCTTAGTCCCCAGTACTAACAAAAACAAAGGCATTTGTGCCAAACTATTCAGATTCCTTTCTACTGCCTTCTAATCCTGCCAGGACCATGCTACCAAAAGGATTGGTCACTTACTGGCTCTTTCAAGGGAAAGTTCCAGAGAAGGCTGTCCTCTGGTGTTTTTTTTTAAAATCAGTAGAATCTTATTTTAAGTTAAATTCTATACTGAACTGGGTATGGTGGTGCACACCTGGAATCCCAGCTACTCAGAAGGCTGAGGCTTGAGAATCACAGGTCTAAGCCCAACCTGGACGACTCAGCAAGATCTTATCTAAAAATAAAAATGAAAACGAAAAGACCTGGGAACATGGAGGCACTAGCATGAGCAGTGCTTCTAGGATATGTGTTCAGTCTCAAACACCAGCTCCCCCATCCCTCGCAAAAAAGTGTGTGTGTGTGTGTAGCACAGCTGTAAAATATGCAGTACTAATTCAGTACAAATTCCATCATCTCGAATAGGGGCCTGCAAACTTTTTGCTGAAAGGGGCTAAATAGTAGTAGACATTTTAGGATTTGCAGGCCATGGAAGACTATTACTATTTTTTCTTTTTTTCTATAATAACTTTTTAAAAAAACATACAAAAAGCACTTCTTCAGCTTTGAGGTAAGTGGGATCTGGCTCTCAGTCTGTAGTCTGCCCCCGCTAGTCCAGGGTGTAGGCAGGAAAATGGAAATAAGAGAAACCAAGCATCGGAACATGTGACTCTGTTGTCAGAAAAGAGGTGTAGGACCAGCAAGCCGGTTATTGGGATGGGGTAAGGCGCGGTTCCCTGGCTCTAACTCGGGTAGTAAGAAATGGCTATCGGAAGTTTGTGAGGCAGGGGGTACTTCAGTCTGACTCATACAGAACCCCATAACACTGTGCATATGAGTGAGATGTATAGGCATTGTTCTAAGGAAGCCATGAATAAATGGCCCTGAATGTTTCAGTAGCTCTGGATGTGTCAACGGTATAGTACAGCTCTATCTTCAGTATCTTACCCTGCCCCATTATTTTATATGTAATGTCTTTAATCCTTAAAGGGACTTTTGGTGAACCTTGTTTCATCCCCTTGTTATAGACAAGGAAACTGAGGTTCCAAAATATTAAGTGACTCACATAAGACCATAGGGCGAAGAGTTGAATCTGAATCTATATTTGCCTGAAATGTCCACAACTTGCTGATTTCAGTTTACATAGGTTTCAGGGCTTGAAGGTCCTTACAGTCTTGAACTTTACCCTCTTGGAGGAGAACTTCTTCCCTGCTGATGCTGACAAAGTGACTTCCTGCTCTAGCATAGTTTATTGATAGTTGTTTTTGGTGTCTTCTTTCACCTGTCCAGTCCAGCTGTTCCACAAGAATGCCCAAATGCAGTCAGTTTCTTTTTTTTTTTTTTTTT